AACGCGTTTTCAAGTTTTCTATTTTGAGAAACAATTTTTCAGAATGACAAAGAGAACGAGTTTTCAGCAATTCCAAAACAGACACTCAAAACAGAAAACACAAAATGAATTCAAAACTCAAAACACAAAACAGAAACACAAAGAGAACGGCCTCTTAGTTTTTCAAAATGATCTTCATGCCTTTGGTGTCATAAATTCCCAAAATTCAATGAGTAGATAATGGGATATAGATAAATAATATGGATTGAGGACTCTTCAGGTATGAAGAAGATGATTCTCTATAATATATTGTTGATCTTTTGTGAAAGAATTTGGGGGATGATAAATCTATAGGTTATATATACAAGGGAAATTGGGTTTTCTCGAGTAATTAGCTATTATCTACTCAAATCCTTCAATTTCCGGGAGTTATGGAGGAGGAGGAGGGAAAAAGCGAATCATTTTTTCATTTTTTTTTAATAATTTATTTTGGACTCATTTTTAATTAAGTCACTTCTTCTTCCTCTTTTTTTCTTTTTTTTTTTTTTTTGAATTTATTGTGTCTTTTTTTAGTGTTCGTCACCTTTTTGAATTCTTGTCACTATTTTTCAGTCAATTTTTTTAAAATTTTTGTCAATCTTTTGAGTGTGTTATTTTTTGCATTCATGTCCCTTTCTTTGAATTTCTGTCACTTTTTTTTAGTGTTTTTCATTTTTTTTATTTCTGTCACTTTTTTGACTGTTTTTCACCTTTTCAATTTCTCACTTGTTTCGATTTTTTGTCACTTTTTTAAGCTTTTGTTATTTTTTAAAATATAAGGATACATCAATTATTTTATTGATGAAATTACACACGATAATGACAACTTGGTCTCTTCTTAAAAATGTCAAAACTTATATTTTTAAAAAAAAGTGACACTTACATATTAACAAAAATGGTTGTATGTGCATTCTATAGTACAACAATTTCACATATTTTGTCACTTTTATATGCGTTATTTTGTTCATATTTTATTCAAAACAGATAAAGGCGTTAATTTTATTCATATCGGCATAAAGAATACAAATAAAATAGTGTGATGCTTTTTTTACAAAAAAGAGTAATAGAGTATGTCACTTTTAAATTTCGTAACATTAATTAATATTCAAAAATACAAAATACATATATACTATGTCATTAAAGAATGTAAAGAAAATTTTAAATTCATATTCATATTTAAAGTTTCACAAACACATTGAATGCATCTATTTAATTAATTCAAAAGAATTCTAATGAAACAGACTGCGATCTTTTTAGATAAAAGTGACGGAGAATGTCATTTCAAGTTTTAGCATTTAACTCATATACAAAAATGCAAATAAAATGTATATATATCACGTCACCTTTGAATGTAAAATAAGGTTTGAATTCATATTCATATTTAAACATTTGCAAACACATGTATGTATCTATTTAGTTGAGAAAAAAGAATTCACTATTTAATTGATCAGAAAAATTTAAATGAGAAAGATTGCTACCTCCTTAAAAAAGTGACTGAAAACGTTACTTTTGTCATTATCATATTTGTATTTATATTTTTACAAACATTTTGCATGCCTCACTTGAATTGATTCGAAGTTAAATTTTTATATATACAAACTCAATTCAATTATGCAAATTTGAATTTCAACATATAATAACTCAAAAGTAGAATGAAGTATGCTTATGTATGGCCCCCATTATTTTTCATTAAATTATAATTTATTTTTCTCTCTTCTTATCAATCACGCATTCTCTAATATAATAATATGGGCAACTTACAAAAAAACCCTTAAAATTAAGTATCTTTTGAAAAATCATATGAAACATATTTTGGAAGTAAAAAATACTGTTTAAAATCAATTGTCACTTTTTTAATAGAAAATGTGACGCGGTAAAAAAAGAGTGACATTGAAAAAGTGATACACTGTCACTTTTTAAAGTGAAGTGTTATTTTTTATTAAAAGATGACATACAATGTCACTTTTATTAAAAATTAATGTTTGTCACTAAAAAATGGATAGAAATTAAGAAAGTGATTGAAAAAAGTAATAAACACTAAAAAAAAGTGACAAAATTCAAAAAAGTGACGAATTCAAAAAAGTGACACGGATTAAAAAAAGTTATACAGATTAAAAAAATGACAAACACTCAAAAGCGATAATATTTAAAAGAAACACTTAAGAAAATGACAAAAATTAAAAAAAGTGACAACGCTAATTAAAACATTGAAATCAGTTCAATAAAATGACAGAAAAAAGTGATACAACCACCGTCCCACTTCTTTTTCCTGCGCTAAGTATCTTTAAGTGGGTTCACCGACAAAACACCAATCAAAAAGTGACAATTCAAAAAAATTGACACAAACACTTGAAAAGTGACATTTTGAGTGACATAATGGTTAGAAAATTTTATCGCACCAAATTTCACATCAAATACAAACGCGAGGAGAAAAAATCAAAAATTAATGATAACATATTTACAGCAGAAAAAAATTTATTGAGTTCTTTTTTTCGCACGATTAATTTACTGTTTTACGTTTCACTTCTTTGAGATGAACTTCTCCAGAAACCAGCACCATAAAATTTCTCCCACATTTCCTTCTCTAATTCAGCGACATTATTGTCCAATTCCAGTGCATTCACCATCACCATCAGGCCGGACATGGTGAGAATTTGAAGCTCCTTATCATCGCAACCGCACTTTCGTGGCGGCAGTAACCCATTCTTTATCAATCTACAACAGCGCTTCAGCCTCAAAGCCTTGCGGCATAGCCCTGCTGAAAGTTTGTACATGGCGAGCACAAGTAGATTCGCCAGCCCACATGGACAGCAACAGCACCCTGCCGCGTATTCCGCCACTGTCCCGCCTGCAACCTACGCCAAGCTGACTTTCGGCCGCTACCTCTGGAGGAGGAATAATCTCGGTTCTCCTGCAACAGCTGCCAGCGATCCACAGAGGGCATCGCCGACGGAGCACAATTTGCCTCGTCATATTCATCTTTCTTTACAGATTTTCTTTAGCCGGACGTAATTAATACGTGATTTATAGTTTTCATAAGTTTTAGGATATTAATCAAATATCATATTTTTTAAGGGTAGCACGTCTAATTTTACCTAATAATATTACACGTAAATCCAAAAAAAATTTAACCACATTCACTGCCCAATCAACAAAATAGCTCCAAATAACCAGCCCACTCAACCATACCAATGACTAACAGCCCAAATAATACGCCTAATCCCTCATGACAGCCCACGTCGCCTCCAGCAGCGCCACCGTTTCACATTGCCTCATCCCTATATCAACCCCAATTCGCCCCCATCACCCGCCAGGCCACTGCCAAATCGACTCTAGTCTTCAGCCCACGCTGCCACCAACGGTATTTCGGTGACATTTTTTATTTTAATTGAAGTTGAAAGTTTTCATATTTTCTGCGAAAAGATCTGATAAAGTTTTGCTCCCAAAAAGTCGATGTCAAGTTCCGATAAAACAATGGAAGAAGAACTGAGGGCTGCTGGGAACAAACTTCTTCAGCCTCCAGATACTCTTGAGAACTCCTCCCTTTACATAACCAAACTGAGGACTCTCTCTCTCTCTCTCTCTCTCGTGTAGCACTCGCCTGTAAAATCCATAAAACCTGCTCTTCTTCCTCTATTATGAGAGCGGTAGGCACCCTACACCCAATTCTTCCTCTCTCTAGAGGTCAAAATAGTAACACAGAGATTAGAGATGAAGAAATCCATGTCCTGCAATTCGGGCCCAGTTCTCAACGTACCAAGAATCACATGTCGACAAAAACTGTGCCAAGTGTCAACCACCACAAGAAACACACTACAAGAGTCACACATCGACAAAAATTATGTGAACCGTCGACCACCACAAGAAACACACAAGTCACACGTTGACAAAAATTCTGTCAATCATGGACAACTACAAGAAACTCACATCGAGAGGTTGAGATACGACCAAATAAGACCAAGGATTCAGTAAAAGTCCACCAAACTCTAATACCATGACAAACATTTGACCGAATGTATTTCGCATAGAAATTTCTTACACCATATAGGAATAAATACAATCTAAATATATAGGAAGTATAATTATAACGTAAATACAAATATATATAGAATTAAGTTAAAACAGATAATATTTTAGAAGTGGTAATTTTCGTCAATCTCTGACGATCTCATTGACACCAATCATATCTCATCATATTATGTATATATAAATCATTATATACATGTAGCACAATCAATTTACTATCTCCTCTTGTTATATTGGGGGATTTTATTTAAATCAATTCTCTTTAAAATTTACAAGAAATAGAAGACAATATAAATTCTTGATTTTCAAATATTTATTCTTATTTCTATGACAGGAATACATTGTATAAGATGTACAGTAACAACTTAGAACAGCAACCACTGCATATACTAAGATAACTGTTGTGATTTTCCATGCGAATTGCGAGCCGAAAGACTCTATGCCGCAACCAGCCTCTGAATATCCTTCTGAAATAGGATAACAGTACAAAATTACTAGAGCAGAATGAATGGAACTCTAATGAATAGATTTGAAGAGAAAAGAAAACAATGAAATCGGAAAGATGAAGTAGAGAGCGAAAAACAGAAAAATTGGTATAAATTTACATTTATCCTCACGAGTGGCTATTGCACAAAAGTTGAACAATTCAGAAATAAATTCAAGATTTTTTTGCCTAAACTAGTGGCTCAAAATGCCGAGCCCAAGATGCCAAGTAACCTCTCAAAGACTCAAACAACTTTTACCTAATAACGAGAAGGGGAGACGAAGTGGGATTCCAAAGTCGATGAGTCCTCTCTTTCCCTAACTCTATATTTCTTAATAGAAGCCTTTCTGACTTGGCATGGGCAATCGCCCCGCGAGAAAGCATTCAAGAGGATTCTAGTTTTTTTCCTACACAATCAATTAAGGTAGTTAATTTTTTGACCAATATTCATCAAGGGCCTTTAGTGCATATTTGGCAAAGCTTAAATTATACTCCCTTCGTCCCACAAAAAGTCATTTTTCATTTGTCCCAAATTATAGGCTACTTCCTTATTGAGAGCTATGATGCTTGGACTCGGGTACGAGTACGTATCAGGTGTCAAATGTTTTATATTTTAAAATTTAGGATACGAGAATATGACTAAAAAGAGTCCAAATTTTGAACACGGACATGTGGACAAACTTTTGACTGAATGTATTTCCCATAGGGATTTTTTACATTATATAGGAATAAGTACAATATAAATATTGTAAGTATAATTATAACCTAAATACAAATATATACAGAATTATGTTAAACGGACAATAGTTGGTAAGTCGTAATCTTTGTCAATCTCTGTCGATTTCATTGACAGACACGTCTTTCAAAATTCAATTTTTCTTTAATTTTCTTTTATTCATAGATACCACGAAAGATATTTTAATTATTTTTAGATTAATTATTTTCTCAACAGTGCCAAAGTTTGGGTTCTTTTTATAATACTGGGCTTCCTATCTTGAGCCCATTTCATTTAGGGAAAATTACCAAAAACCAGGTGTTTAGTTGTGAATTTTAAAAAATCAGGTTTAAGGTTTATCTATTCAAAAATAAGGTATTTTATTTTATATATATAACCCTAAATCTATCCAAACCCTACATTAATCCATTTCATTTCTCTCACTTTCTCTCACTCCCCTCTCTCACTCCCGTCTCTCATTCCCTTTTCTCTGCCCAAACCGTAGCTCCGTCAGGAGGGGCACTGCGCCCCGGCACTGCCCACAGCACATGCGCACCTTTGTAGGTGGTGGTGAATCTGCGATGTGGGGTCGTTGCGCGATGGAGATCCTGGGAAGAAAAAATCGTGTTTGGTTTCGTGCATAAGGGGCACTGTTGCAATTTGGTGGTGATGGGAGTGCTATAGGTGGTTGGTGCAGTTGGGGGTGGATCTGCGACGACGGTGAGGTGGTTTTGGGTTTGTTTGTTGGTGTGGCGGTGGCGGTTCCCGTCAATTAGATCGCGGCGCTGTGCTCTCCGTCGATTAGATCGGGCGAAGTGGTGGTGATATGTGGTTGTGGTGGTTACTGCGAGGACGGTGAGGTGGTTAGTGTCGCTTTGCTCTCCATTGGTGATAGAGGTTAGTTGAAAAATGATGGTTGTGGCCGTGGTTGATCAGGGCGGGTGTTGGTGGTGGAGGTGTTGGAGGTGCCTACTTTTTGGGTTTTCTTTTTTTTTTTTTGTTTATGTTTGTGAGTTAAAGATTGGAGAAGGTGTTGGTGGTGTGGCGGTAAGGTGGTGTTACTACTGGTTGTCGTGGTGTTTGGGTAGTGGTGATGTTGGTCGTAGTGGTTGTCGTAGAGGCGGTAGTAGTGGTCGAGGCGACGGTGAGGTGGTGGTGGATCTAGCGATNTGTGACCTACAAAAATTTTTATCTGTGACCTGAAAATAATACGTGACCTATAAAATTTTTTATCTGTGATCTCGAAATAATCCGTGACCTACAAAATTTTTGATCTGTGACCTCGAAAAAATCGCCGGAGTTGTTGCCGGTCACCGGAGTAGTCGTCGGAGTAGAGGGATTGGTTAATTATATTATATTACAGTTTAATATTTAATTTAATATAATAATTGTGAAATATAATTAATTAATTCGTGGAAAACCTGATTTTTGCAATTTTAAAATTTGGGGCCTGATTTTTTATTTCATGATAGAAAATACCTGATCCATGAATTTTTCCCTTCCATTTACCAAATAGTACTTAGGGGATCTTGACCCCAATCCTCTATTAAAAGTTATTGGTAAAATTAGCCGTACTATCCCTAAAAAATAAGATATTTGATTAATACTCTAAAATTTATTAAAACTATCACGTATTAATATTAAAACTATAAATCAAGTATTAATTACGTCCAAACCTATCCCCCTCCCCTCAAACCCAAAATTGTAATCTTGCAACGAGCAGATTGGAGAAGCACCAGAGGAAATAATGATGATAGTCATGAATCTAGTTTTGGATTAAAGAACTTCTTGAAATGTAGTGTTGAAAATGCTTTCGAACCACGTGGTATTCACATATCTGAATTGCGATTTGGCCATTATTGTCGGCACTGAGATGAGGATGCTGAGGAAGGAGATTCAACAGAATGAGGTCAAGGGCTAGGTTTTATGAAGAATAAATTCCTGCAACTTTCAACTCTCATCAAAATACTCAAGCAAAAATATGGCTTCTTTAAAGAAAGGGGGTTCTTGGGAAACTTCTCGAAGAGATGGAAATGGAAGAAAATGATTGCAACTATGTGTAAAAACCTGTATTGTTACAAAATAGAAGCGTAATACATGTATTGGAAGAAGGTAATCTTTGGCTTAATGGAATATTTTTCTTAAAGGTTTCAGATTGGCACACCAAATGTTTGTTTCTTTGGCTCAAAAAGATGATGATATGATTTTGGCTTGCAAATTATAACTTGGGCAATTTGTATATGTGAAAAAGTTGGAGAAGGCTACTCCATTTCCGTGAGCTTAATAGTTAATATGTTGTCCATCTGAAAATTATCCTTTGTTTTGACTGTCTACTCTATGAAACTATTATGGGGTTGTATCATACCTCAGGTGATACAAAAAACAACCGGAATGATTTTTTCTTTTCCGTGGTCGAGGACTTGCCTTCTCTTGCTATTGTAAAACGTTGGATGAATATAATTTGTTCAATATGCATTCATAAATACAACCCTCGTCCATTTAGTAGTTCATCTTATAGGGATGTAATATTGTCTGATGCGCATCTAAAATCTCTACTGCTTCTAAACTTAATTAGCTCTTACTTTTTAGTGAAATGGAAAAGAAGCTTCAGCAGGTGCACAATTTTATTGCTTCTGTTAATCATTGTTCCGTTCTCATTTTTGTAATGCTTATGTTCTTACTAATAGCACTTCTTTATATAATTCTCTTACTGTTGACACTACTATTCTACATGAAATTTATCCTTCCTCAAAC